AGCACTGGAAAAGAAAACTAGTAAAAAGAACGAGAGAGCGACGGTGGGAGAGAAGAAAAGTGTATTCTGATCAGTGTCTCTCTCCCGCTGTGCCATCAGTGGCGCAGTGAAGCTCCTTCATCATAACCCTCACCTGGAGCACACACACGCTCAGCTCCTTCACCTGGATCACCCTCACTTCCTGCGGTTCACTCATCTGCTCGCTCGCTCGCTCTCCCTCTCATCTCATTATCTGTCAGTATATCAAATCAAGTGTGTCTCTATCTTCTTCATCCATCCCCGCAGGCCGCCCCACTGCGTTCATAATTACACCCGAAAATTACTGCTACCTCTCTAACCCCCCCTCCCTCTCTTTCTCTCTCTCTCTCTCACTCTCTCTCTCTCTCCCCCCACCTCTGCCGAATCTTCTCCGTCTCAATCATCATCAGCCCTGATTTGTGCCCTCTTTCCTCCAGAGCCCTCATTACAAACAGGGCGGATGTTATTCTACTGTACTTGCAGGATTTTCCAGGATTCTGTCTTTTGACTTTTCCTGTCTTTCAGATGAACAGATGGAGGAGTTCAGTGCAGAATCAGCAGAATCACTGCTCCTCCAGTAACAGCGCTCACCTCTGCTTCTCTCCGCTCGTCTGTCGACACTGGAGCACAAGACGCTTCCAGTAAAGTGGACAGTGAGCAGTGTTGGGGCAGCTGCTCGAAAGAAAGTAATCCAAAAAAATGAATCCATTACAAATTACTAATTACTTCTCTTAAACTGTGATGCAATTACAACGTAATCTATATTAAATTACTAATAATGTCTCGCAAACTGTAATGGAATTACAAAGTAATCCAAACAAAGTAATCCATGACAAATTACTACTTTTATTTTTATCAAAGTGTAATGAAATTAAAAGTAATCCAAAAAATAATCCATTACAAATTATTAATTACATTTCTTAAACTATAATGGAATCACAAAGTAATCCAAAAAAGTAATTCCCTACCAACTACTGATTACTTTTCTCAAACTGCAGTGGAATTACAAAGTAATCCAAAAAATAATCCACTACAAATTACTAATAACTTCTCCCAAACTGTAACGGGATTACAAAGTAACACAGACATAACCGTTTCAAAGTACTAATTAATTCTTAAACTGTAATGGAATTACAAAGTAATGAAAAACAAAACAATTACAAAGTATTAATAATTTCCCTCAAACTGTAACGCAATTACTTTACTTACCACTTCAGAGCTACTCTCTGAAACCCAAACCCATCTGTACTAACTGAAGTCCTCCTTTCTACAGTCTGACTGATATGAACATTTTGTGGCACTGAAACTGAATTTAAGGGGCGAAACATTCTGGTAACTGATAATAAAATCTGTTATAGTTTTATATTTTATGTTTTAATTTAAACTCTAGTATTTTGAGATACAGAGTGAGTTACTGACTGATACTGTCATTTCTCAATGTTTACACTCTTTAAAGTAAATAACCAGCTGAAACTCACAATCCTAAACTAGAAAAGTGCGTCTCTGGGAGAAGATACTGAGGGACTGCGCAGCTTAAAGCTAGCTAAGATGCTGCTGTGCATTTGCTGTGGTATCCCAGATGGCTGCTAGGGCATTGCTAGTGTATCCTCAGTGGTTGCTCAGCGGTTGCTACGGTATCCCAGGTGGTTGCTAGGTGGTTGCTGGTGGTTGCTATGGTATGGTACATGGTTAATGTGATGTTACTAGTGGTTCATCGTATTTTAATAACCTTATTTTAACCGTAATATAAGCTGAATGCATTAAAATTCTTTCCTTTGGGGAAAAATATTGTCATTTGACGATGATTGTATGAAAACTGTGCATCCGTTCAAAAAGCCGTACACAGTCACACCATTCCTGATCATACCAAACATTCCAGATTTGGAATGGTGTCAGGATCTTGAAAACTGCGGGATGAGTTAGCGGATAAAAATCTTCATACAGTTAAACGGGGGTTTATACTGAGTTCTCCTGTGAAACAACCATCTAACTCTGTCTAAGGTCTTATCTGAACTCAGCATGCTGGGACAGAACCAAGCGATGAGCTTAATCCCTGCCAATTACCCACAGGATAAAAACATGGTGCGAAGAATTTTGTGAAGTTGTGAAGTTTGCGATTCGAGGAAGCGTAAACACTCCTCCATTCATCCTGCTGCACAGTATGGAGACAATGCGCATAAAACAGAGCTGGAAAACGATGACAACTAAAATAAAGCTTGTAAAGTGGAGTCGGCTGTGACTTTGACTCCTGATCTACACTGAGGCCTTACATCTTTCACAGTTATTTCGCTCAGAGCGCTCGTCAGCCGAACGCTCGCGACGTGTAAGCCGGGCTGATTTAACCTCAGATTCCCTCTTTGTGAGTCTCCAGCCTGTGCTCTCCTCTGCGCTGCTCTTCTTTGTCCCAACACCAGCGTATCCACCGCGCTGTGTCCTTGACCAGTCCCCCAACCGCTGTTATTGCTTTTATTGCTTGTGAGCGCCCTGCCCAGAGACACCGTAAAGCGCTGGACAAAGAGATAGATGGAAGGGAAAGCCTTCTCACTGTAGCATCACAATGCCCACAGGGCGACAATTGAAGAGATGTAAGAGAGTCAAGGTACAATGAGGCATCTCACTGACCGCCTGTCAAAACTGTGCTTATTAAAAATCCCCTTTACCCTTCACACCATGCTTTAAAACCAAAAAAGCCTCATTTTTAATGTTAAACACTGAAGCATTTACTATCACTTTAGAATTACGTTGTCAGCTAAGGCTGCAACGGATGACTATTTCTAGAATCGATTAATCTGTTATTAATAAAGGTTCTGTTCAGGAACATTATTGGTTCATCGAGGTACAAACAGTGTAAATGTTCCCTCAAAGCTCCAACAGTGGTTTTAAGGTCTGATTGTGAACCTTAAATAAGTTTCTCCAGGTGAAAAGTTCGTATTTGTACCTTTTCATAACCGAATGTTTTAAACAGAACAGTAAAATAAAAGCCTGGAGACGAGACGGGGTGTGTGGAGTCAGTACAGCTTAGAACATATCATTTCAGTGGATTATGGTTCAGTTATGTTCCCTGACTGAAGGTACTGAGATGGAGCCTTGAGGGTTCCACCCCAGTGACAGGAGGGGCACTGACCCAGTGACAGTTTTGTATCTTTTTTCTGATTTGTGAAAATAGTGTTTGGGCTATTATTCGATTAATCGACTCATTGAAATATTATATCTTCTGTGCTTTTGTCTGATTAAAAGCGTCACATCTTCCTGAAGTGTACTGCATCCTGTTGGAATGATCGTAAGAGCTTTATTAAGCATTAGAGAACACTTTTGTTTTTAACCTTTCTTTCAAAGTAACTATAAAATGTGATTTCCATCTATTTTGGATGTAATGATGTAATACATTTGTTTAAAAATTTGTAGACCAGAACTGGATTTTCATCTTCCTAGTTGAGCAAATAGCCCAACATTTATAAAAAAGCTGTTATTGGGTTTTAAAGCTGTTTGTTTATTGTGTCAGGTGCGTAGGATTGTTTGAGATGAAGAAAGCTCCAGTTGTCCATTTACCTCCGACTTTGTGTAGAGGTGTGAATTGTTTTTCACAGCAGGGGGTTCTCAGTTCTCCTCTTTCACCCCTCATTGCTCACTAGCAGCTCAACACAGTCACAACATTCATACACACAGAAGTAAGAGACCTAATTTATCTAATAATCCAAATAACAAATGACCTTCCAAACAGGGGCACAACTGCTGGCAGGTGTAGCAATCAAACCAGGTTCACAGTGCAGGGGAGACCCAGCAACCAGGACTTTATTGGACCTCCTACAAGGATGATTCTACAGAACTGGTTCGAAATCAGAGCTGAAACACATTTGGGACTTTTAACTGATCTTGGACTTTAGATTAAAATTCTTTTGCTCTGAGTGACTCTAAACCATAATTATGATTATTATATTAAAACTAATAATTGAACATTCCATTTTGTCCCTACCAAAACAGTCATAACTCTACCAAACTGTACCAAATATGTCAGTAGTGACTGTTTCAGTGACAATTTTAGCTCCCTTTGAACTCAGAAACTCAGCAAACACAGCTTTAAACAGCTGTTCATACAGAAAATCATCATATTTTACATTAAAACACTACAAAGTGCTGAACTGCAGAAAATATGACGATTCTTAATGTTCCACACTGATTTTCAGACGTTGGGACACATTTACTTCAAAACAATGAGATCTAACTGCTCACCATGTGGCCATGAGGGACAGGGATGCAGCCTCACTTCCTGCTCTAAAGTGCAGGGGCGTGGCTAAAACAAGGCTCCGCCTACAGACTAAAACTCTTTTGGTAGTGACATGAAGCATCTTCTGAATTGATTTTTTATGTAAAAATGAAACTCATGATAAATCTAAATTATTCTACTTTACATTAAGGGTCGCAAATTAATTGATAGTGATATGCTTATAAGTAATTGCACACTCATTATATTATATATATATATATATATATGTGTATATATATATATATATTATATATATATATATATATAATATATATATATATATTTATACACTGCTTATTAATCATTGGTTACTGAACCTTAATGTATAGTGTTAACAAAAAATAAATAAATAAATATGCAAGGATTATTTTCCCAAATGTAAATTTAGGGATTAGGGGCAGACACCTCCCATAGAAAGTACAGTATAAATGATTGTATATATATTTAACTTATTATTATCTCTATTTTTTTGTTTATTTTTAAGTTTTTTATTCAGTTTGAACTTATTTAATAAAATGATCCGCATCACTACTTACAATTTTACACCCATAATGGTCCATTATTCATGGGCAGCTATGATAAAAAAACAGTATACCAGCCTTATCCTGCATTAGAGCACCAACTTGGCTGAGATACAGCAGATCCCAGCTACTGCAGAGCCTCCAACTGCTCCTCTTAATTCCCACCAAGTGCTTCTAATAGCCAGCGAGTTACCTACCTGCACACTTGGTGCGTGTGATGAGTGGCGGTCCTGGAGGTCCGGTGCCTCCCTCTCCGGGTCGAGTCAGGAGAACCTTAATCTCGTACTCGACGTCCGGGTCCAGATGCCACAGTTTGTAAGTGGGTGCGTCCACGATGTGCGTCTCTGCCCAGTTTCCAGTGGTCGTGCGGTACTCCACCTCCTTGAGGATGATTGGCCCATCGCCGATGATGGAGTTAGCATTTGGCTTGATCCACAGGTAGGTGGCGCCAACCGCCAGCAGCTCAGGAGGGGCGATTGGAGTCGGGGGAGCTGAAGAGGAGAAGAATCATCAGTATAAAAATGTCACAGTTACAGCAGCCAGAATTCATCCACTACAAGATATTCCTATTAATGCTAACGCAGCATCAGTGATGTGAAATCAACACTGAATTAAATAACATCAAACGAACTTCTGAATGTCTGAATCATTAGTGTCATTACTGTTAATTGTGTGTTATTGGGAAGATGTTTGGAAGCTGTTCAAAATCACTTATCAGCTCAGTTTTAGTTCATTTTTATTTAATAGGAGCACCATGCGTGTTAAATCTAAACTCTGGGATTATTGTAGTGAGGTAGTGTTGTAGTAGAGAAAATACTCCTATTTCACTGTAAAGGGTTAAGATCTTAAAACGCTGAATGGAAAATCATCCAATTAGGATAGTTCTCACTCTGGTATCTAGGCAGACACAGCCGAGCGAGCTCTCCCATTGGTTAGGACTTCAGGAGCTGGACTGACTACCAACATAATTAGAAACAAGCTTCAAATAAAACATATGGAATGTCTTTTGCAAGCTTCATTCTACGTGTTTAATCTAGAAACGTTTATGTGCGCCAGCATTAGCTTAAAGCTAACATACTATGAGTAATTCCATAAGGGCGCTAGTAGAAATTAGCCTAGAGGTGAATTGTCTCATAAAGGCCGAGCTCTAAAAGTCAATCAATTTATCAATTATCCTTTATTCAAACTCTGAGTGTATCGAGGGTGACCATTCATTACAATATAGCTGAGCCTATAGAGCAGGGGTATTTAATTAAAACTCAATAAGTTCCAGTTAGTGAACATTTCCTCAAGCAAAGGTCCGGAACATCATAATGTCTAACTTGCATCATGATTCAGTGCCATATACTGTTTACTGATGCAGTAGTTATGTAAACATCTTAAACAGTCGACAACTGAATGTCAAATCAAATAAAGTACAATTCAGTCATATTTTAACAATATTTATCGTCAGTTTTCTCTTTCTAGATCACGTCATGTGAAATAACTTCCCTCGGACTCACTTTCTTCTCCTGCTGTTTGTCGCCTCGTCACTCATTTGAGTCTCGGAGCTCATCGTAATGCACAGATCTGATTGGCTGAGAAGCATCACGTGTGATATTTACAATGCATGTGATTGGTCTGTGAGTCTCAGGGCCGCTAAAGCCGTACTGTAAAGGCTAGAAAAGTTACGCCGATTAAAATAGGACCACCCTGTCAAAATTAAATAATTCTCCATAGTTTATCGGTACAGGTCCACATAGGACAGCGTCTGGGTCCGAACTCGGACGGCGGTCCGCCTATTAGTGACCTCTGCTATAGAGAAACCTAGTACCTAGAAAGTAAACGTTAATTATTAGATAAATAAAAACAATGTTATGTTAGAATCATCAGTATTACAGAGTTAAATGTGCATTGGTTCATTTTTGTTTTTTTGGTTTGGCCTATATTTACTTGCTAATGCTATCTAAAGCAATAACATTTACACATTGTAATTAATGTGGAAAGAGAAACTGCACAGAATTCACACCTTCTGCTGTAGTATGTGACTCAGTTCACCAAAACAAGGAAGGAAAGCTTGCTGGGAGTCAGAATGCAGTGAGCTGGAGAACGCTGTGTGCTTATGGAGATCGTTAGGAGGTATCAGGCGAGCTTACTGGCAGCAGGAGCTCCAAAATAAACAAAGAAAATGTGCTCTAGAAGATTATTTGTGGAGGTGAGCTGCAGCTTTTCTCTGAACGTCCACCTCTCAGAGCAGCCAGACAAACTCCACCCACTCACACCAAACCCTTCAAGACTGCCTATAGTGTCTTCTGCATTTACTATCCAAAACCACCAGTGAACCTACACGAGTCTTCTGAGGTTTATATGGAATGTTGATGATGGAAAATAGCAGAAAATCTGAAATAATAAGTTTTATTTGGGGACTATTTTGCCTCACAACACTCTGCATGTATCCATCCACCATGTACCATGAATTCATAACCATTTCATGTAGGAACTTTCTGTGAGGGAGCTTTTGGAGGTGGACGTCTGGTTCCTATCACCACAAATTCTGAATCCAGAGTGATCCAGAGCTGGTCATTCTAGAAATAACATGTAAAATAGAAATAAATCTAACAAAAACATAACAGGGTCATCATGACAAGCACTTGTTTAATTGTTTTGTTAGAGTAAAATAGCTGGATTAATTTTTACGACCTCTCTTTATTCCTTAGAGAAATGTATTTCTACATGACCATTTCCAACCGTAGAATTAAACAGGACGATTCTGTTACTGTGCCTTTAAGACCAATATATTTAAATGAGCTCTGTTCTGATAGGCTGCCCTGCAATGTGCCTTATTCAGAAAGCAGTCCAAACTGAAACTCTCACTAACTACAGGCGAGTGCAGGGGCTAAACTGCTGTGGGCTGCTATGGGCAGATATAAATAAATGAGTTGGTTTTTGTGACATCACAAAAATAGTGACTTCCAAACAAGCTGAAACTTTGATACATCAAACATCAAACAACATCATTTCAAAAAAAAGGGGAAAATGTTGGTCTTCCCTAATATGGGCCCTTTAAAGAGCGCAGTAGGGTGAGGTTTCCTCTCGCCTGGTCTGTCTTCCTGCTTTTTGCTTTCTTTTCTATCATTAAGACTCTCTCTCTCTCTCTCTCTCTCTCTCTCTCTCACTTTTCTCTAGCAGTCTCTCTCTCGCTCTGCAGTGCCCACGTATCTCGCTCTCTCGCCCCACTCAGTGGGAGAGGGAGCAGACAGGCAGTAATGTGGGGTTAGGGGTGCATGGCGGAGCCTGAAGGACGCTGCCGACCGTGGCCGAGCCGCCCAGAGCCGCTCTAATGAGAGGCTGCTGCCTCTAGTGTGCCGTATAATCAACTAAGCAGGATTACCAAAGCCCATCTACCCTCAGCCTGATAACCACCAGCTCCCTGCACCGCCACCGCACCCTGAGAGGAACCTTCACCACCACCTGCCAACCTGCCACACGCACACTTACCCACAGCACAGCAGCACTGCAGAGGAGGAGCTGAGGCAAAACAGTACATTTTTCCATTTGAATGTATTCAGTTCAAATGGCCACATCATTTCCACATGAATAAAACATATTTATCGCTGAAACCCAAGGATTATACTGTGCTGATCTACACTAAATGGCCAAAAGTGACCAAACAGCCCTTCTAATGAGCGAGTTCGACTAATTTAACGCTTTGAACCCGAAGCCTGTTTTGCAGGCAACGAGTATAGCTGCTTTATGGCCTTCACAGCTTCAGAACGGTTTAAGCTACAGACGTAAACATATCAGACCACTCAGCAGACCCGGTCCTCACCAGTCAGCGTGACATCATCAAGCTATGACATCAGCATTGGGTAATCCAGCTTAAAAACACCAAAAATCCTGATCCAGCCGTCTGCTTTTAGCCTTCATATTACCACAAAGGGTTAAAATAGCACACATCAGAGCACTCACGATAGTAAACACGCAGCTAAGTTTGAAATTAAAAATAAAGCCTGTCTTGCTGTTTGTCAGAGTTTTAGCACTAAGCATGAATCCAGCAGTACAGAAAATCAATAAAAAGTCATGGCCACCTTATGCTAATCATTTATTTACTCGGTAATAAGCAATAACATCAACCACCATCAACATTCTTGCATTTTCCACTCAAGACTAACAATTTCTGAAAAGGTATTAAGTTGACACTTGTTTTCAAGATCTGGATAAGCAAAAATGTACAAAATTTTGCAAGCACTAGGTAAATTTTTGATCAAAAAGTAGTTAAATTCACAACAATATCAAAATTCCGTCAGCATTCACATGTCAAATAATGACATATGTGAGCAGCCCAGGGTCTCCTGTGTGGTTGGTGTAGCGCAGCGGGTAACATCTCTGTCTTCTACACTGTAGACTGGGGTTCAGTCCCCTGCCTGGGTAAACACCCTACACTATACCAGTAAGAGTCCTTGGGCAAGACTCCTAACACTCCCTTCACCTACCTGTGTAAAATCATCAAACTGTAAGTCGCTCTGGATTAGAGAGTCTGCCAAATGCTGTGAATGTAAATGTCTCCTGAAAATAACAACATATGACTCTCTCTCATGTAAATACTTCATAAATTGTAACTGTAATTAACCAAAATACCATAACAATTCCACCATATTATCCTAGAGTTCTAAGTGCTGAAGGGTCCAAAACCAAATTTTCCAGTCACAGCCTGTTTAATTCTGAGGGATAAAGAGAGATTAGAAAAGGTCATAATAAGGTAAATTTCATGAGTGGGAAATTATGGTCAGTTACAGCTTATATAATCTCCATAGAAAAGCACTGACCAATAGAATGTGACGCTCTGGAGCAGCTGCACATGATCCTAAGGTCTCATGTCCAATGCCCAGCTTGGGCTAGAGGGGTATAAAGCCCCCCAGCACTGGGCTGTGGAGCAGTGGAACTGTGTTCTCTGGAGTGATGGAGCTCCATCCAATACCTTTGGGATGATTATTGATCCAGAACTGACCATCCTACATCAGTACCTGACCCCACTAACGCTCAATCAGATCCTCACACAAAGTTCAACACCTGGAAGCCTTTCCAGAAGAGTAGAGGCTGTTACTGCAGCAGAGGCCTCATTAATACCCTTCATTCCAGAAGAAATGTAAAAGATTACGGGCGTGTAGAGAGATATATTTAATTCTTATGAAAATGGTGTGAATATTAGTGAAGCAAATTCAGTGCATTAGTGAAAAAACTAGTAAAGTAATAAAATAAATCATGTTTTTACAGAGTTCTGTTTGATTTGCTGTTCAGGTTTGATTTTTGTCATATTTTTGATGTAAATGGACACCAAGAGGCTGTTCATCAAGTGAGCTGTCATGTGTAAATTGTGACTGTGAAGAACTGGCAGCATTAATATGCTGGCGGTAATTTAGCTCTCCTGTAATTTGAGTTTGCGTGAGCGGCGCTTCCTGTCAGCAGATTTTGATTCAATGGGGGTTTACGGTTCTTGAAATATAAGGGCCTG